GCACAGACCGTTCTACAGACACATCGAGCGAAGGCGCCACCAGTAATGGCGGCACTGGCCCGCCAAGCGGCTCTGCTACTCCTCCGTCGATAGCTTACCAGTCCGACCCAGCTCTGCATCTTCAGGTGAAGGATGCTTCAGATTCAAAATCTTCTCTGGGTCTTTCACAACAACAGTATGCCCAGCCCCAGGCCCGACCGCCTCTTACTCCGGCCGCAATGGCGAATCGCCATAGTGTTTCGGGCATGTCGGGTCTTGGATCTCCTTCCACTCATGGGAGACTAAACGCCCCTATATCGCAATATGCTCCACGGATACACAACGTCCCTGAGAATGCTTGGGTATACCAAAAAGCCCTGCTTGTCCATGGGTCAATCGGCGACACTGAACTTCACAACCACAGCCTTGATGGGAGTCTTACCATAACGAGGCTTGATGATAATATCCCCGCCACCAGCTGGCCTGTTTGCGAGTCTCGGTTCAAAGCGATGATTTATCTGCAGCCCGGCCCCAACAAGCTCCGATTTGACTTCAGTAGCCCGAAATTGGCCAATTCAACCACCTCGAACCCCATCCACGCTTCTTACCTTACCGTTCACATGATGCCGAATACCAGCGCTCCTCCACTTCAACTCGCCATCGTTTTAGGCAAGGACTCTCCAGGTGTCTTTGATGCTCCTCCTGCGCGAGCTGAACGGGAAGGAAATGGGCTAGACACAGCAGTCAGAAAGCTTCGGATGGCTGCCTACCTTTGGCAAGCCTTCACGGCGGAGCAAATGTATAGACACAAGATGGGGCGACGGGCATTCAGATTCGAGGAAGAGTGGACTTCCGGAACAGCCAACCACCGTGACAGAGAGTATGGCACCATGCGATCCGAAGCCAGAGTACACATCATTCGATCTGAACAGACCGTTGCGGAGCTGCGGGACATCGATGGTACTAATGATAAGGAAGGTCTGCTGAGCATCGTCGCGGATGCCGTCAAGCAGTACTTTGACCCGCTACCGGGCCAGAAACAGTACGTGTCGGCTCTATTGCTTGACTCCCACTGGGATCCTGCGTCCAAGACCGTAACGGGGCATGCTGCGTTAGGGGGCGCTGTTGGTGATTTGAACCTTGCTGTCTTCGGGTCGCATTGTTTGTACAGCTATCCGGCCAGCATTGAGGAGGTTGTTCCTGCCTTTACCGATTGCACGCCTACGGATAGTAATTATGTCTCCAACTGCAGTGATTCTGGAAGTTCCTGGGAAGCTGCAAATATCGGGATTGGTGGTCATCTCCACGAAACCGGGCACTTATTTGGTTGTCCACATCAAGAAGGGGGCGTCATGTTGCGAGATTATGTTGTGTTCAATAGGAGTTTCGTGTCGCGCGAAGCCTACTCTACAAGAACCAAGACCAAGGGTGGCTTCTGCTGGACAGATACCGAGTGTGAGTGGCATCGATTGGACTGTCTGAGATTTCGCGCCCATGCTGCCTTCAGACTACCAAACGATATTCCGATGAACTTCGACGAAGGCGTTCAAGTTTTCCCAGCTGATGGGGGTCAGTTGCTAGCCACAGCTGCAACTGGTATATCATTTGTGGAGATCTATTGCGAGGGGGATGATGTTTGTGGAACTTGGATTGAATGCCCGGCCGACGCTGGCCACATTCAAAAGCAAATCTCGTTGACTGAGCAGGACCTACGCAAGAGGCTCCCAGAGGCAAAGAGAAAGGCTGATTTGAAGATAGCCATCAAGTCACATGGTGGCCAATCAGTGGACGTTGACGATTTTGTTGCATTTGTCTCCAAGAAATCATCCGTTAAGCTGGAGAACGGCACTCTAGCCTTCCGCAGCAAGCCAATGGGCCAGACAGAAACCACAGATGATCAATTTCAGGACATCGCTTTTATCAGTGCGACGAGACAAGATAGGGTGCTGTCTCGTATCGTTGTTTACCATGGAGAGGCCGTCCACGGCCTTCAGTTCGTTTACGACGACGAATCATCACAGCTTCTAGGCATGGAAAGCGAGGGGGAAAATGGGGATGTTTTTGATCTTGGTGAGTGTGGACACATTTGGCTAAACGTAATAGCCTTGGTGAATATTGGAACGTTCGGCTTTGTTAACATGTGACGTGATTCAGACGTTCGCCGTGGCGAGTACATTAGTGGCTTTTATGTCAGAGCAGGCCTCTGGATAGATGCTCTCCAAATTTTGACAAGTTTGGGTCGGAAGTCGCTTGTGTTTGGCAAACCATTTGGCGGCGACGGGTCAGTCTTCCTCACCCCCCAGCGAATCTAGCAACATGGATATGGGAACCCAGCTAACACGTCCCAGCCATTTGCTAATACCACCACGTGGATACACCATCTGTGGTGTATCTGGTTCATGTGGCGCGCGGCTCGACAGTTTTTCGATACTCATTCAACGATGATGAACGCCATAAATACACACATACGTACATGAAATCGCGGGTCGGCATTTTGTATTTCGGTCTATTGTTATCTCGGTTAGAGGATACCTAATACTTGATACGTCTTGTTGGGAAGGTATACTTTTTTTTCTCGTTGGACTACACAGCATCTAATACACGTACATACGCATACTTGGCTATATTTATGTATGCTTAATACGCCCGGCATACGGCGGTTTGACGTTGATAACAGGAAAGGGAACTACCTAGGGAGGCATTTGGTAGGAAGCCTAGGTTTGGTTATGCATGGTCTGGATTAGTCGGTTGCTTTTTTTTGCTGTTCCTTGTGTAAATCTTTCTTGTTTGCCTGCTTCTGAAGAGTGAGCAGGTGACTAATGCGCTAAGATCAGATACCAGATCTTGCTGGATAAAGCACAGTTGATGCTGGTTTCGCATACGCTAGGTGCGGCTTCCGCGGAGCTTCTGCGCCCCAACTGGCGGTTCGGTAGTAAATAATACCAACACAGAGTGCTCTTATCACCAACGGGATCGCTGTGCACATACAATGGCTGATGCAACAGGCAGGTGCTGTTTGTGATAGCAGCCTGATCGGCACACTGGATGAGTACCTAGGTAGGTAGATCAGGAATGTATCAGGCACTTGGGGGAGAGCTTCTCTAGGGTAGGCGATCGTCAAGGTCAATGCTATCATGATGAGTCAGCAGGTAAAACCCTGTTCCGCTTGCTTGGTTGTCTGTGACTTGGCTGTGGATGACGGCATGCATTTTATTTTGCATCCGAGAATGATTCTTATGTGTTGATCACAAAGACACGCTGTCACTGCTCCAGGCACCCTTAATTACATTCAGCCCATTCTACTCGTTCTTGGTTAATAGAATTGACGGGCCCCGATTCAACTCCATTACTCCCTCGATTTATCTCGCCCTCCATTGTCTCGACCGTTTGCGTACGACATCCCGCATCATCAGCATATCCGCGAATACATAGACAGAGAATTTCCGCATCAACTTCTTCTTCTCGAACTTTACATTCAATTTCTAGCCGGACATGTCGAAGCGGCCTACGAGCTCCAACGGAGGTGCAGGGAAGGATGCGGGACCCTCCAGCCAGCCCGGTATGATGATAGCAACCCGATCACGACGCGGAACGACCATCTGCTAACCTGATGGTGATTGTGCATATAGCGGCGGACAAACAGAAAAGACTCTTGTCCGCAGATGTCGGGCACTTCTCTCTTGTTAGGGCTCTTCATCTAGCTGATCTCATTACCCTTCTCAATGGTATTGATATATAACCTTCCCTATTTAACAGAATTCAACGGAGCTAACGTCATATGGTAGGCTTCTGCGGGACGATGTCGATTTTCTCTTCCCTGCGATACGCGCTCGGCGACCCTGCATCCGTTGACCACTTATGGGTGGCTCTGATTTTCCTACCTTTTGGCTTCTTCTTTGATGCGTTTGACGGCAAAGTGGCAAGATGGCGGAAGAAGAGTAGTCTCATGGGCCAAGAGCTTGACTCACTGGCCGATTTGGTATGTTTTGACCCTACCCACTCAACATCTATCTGGGTCTCTGGTTCGCCATATTGAGACGTGACAGATATCATTCGGAGTTGCGCCAGCCATGGTGGCCTTCTCGATTGGCCTCCGATCCGTTGTCGACACGATTGGGTTGTCCTTTTTCGTGCTTTGCGGTCTGACCCGCCTTGCTCGTTTCAATGTCACCGCCGCGACCCTCCCCAAAGATGCGAGCGGCAAGAGCAAGTACTTCGAGGGCACACCTATTCCTACCTCTCTCGCTGTTGATGGTCTTATGGCTTACTGGCTCCACCGCCGCTGGATCCTCAATGACCTTCCATTTGGTGTGCTTGCCGAGGGTTCGGTCTTTGAATTCCATCCTGCGGCTCTTATCTTCCTGGTACATGGATGCTTGATGACAAGCCGGACGATTCGCATACCAAAGCCTTAAGATAACAACTTGTACAGGATTTGATATGCCTACAACGCATTCTTGAGGCGGAGGTTGGTGTATGTCTAACAGTGCGGCTTTTTTTGTCCACATATTTTACAAGACGGTATAGTACGGATTTCGGCCAGGCATGGCCAGTCATCCACCCTTGTGTTGTGTGTTTGGCCATAAATCCGCAACAGAGCGTTTTCTGCCAAGGAGATGCGTTTCGGGTTTCAGTTTCTTTACATGGGTTATAATATGTGTTTGTCTGGATAGGCTTGGCGTTGTGGCCGATATAGAGGAAGTTCACATCCTGCTCCCAGTTTGATAGTGAGCATTATTCAATATACCCCATAGCAGACAGTTTCACACTTTTGAATTTCCTTTTTTGAAATGGTGAAGCTATATGTCGTTTTTACAAGCCCCCTCCGCGTTCACAGAAGAGGCCAAAGCCGCATCATGCGGAACGGAACTCAGTAGCAAGGAGAAAAAAAGAAGAAGATTCAAAACCAAATACCTTCCGTTAACGCCAGGAGCCCCCTTGGACAAGATCAAACAGAGCTAATATAATCTCGGTGTCTCCTTTGGATCGATGCCTCATTCGTTGCTTGGAAAACATCGCGTTTACCTGCCTCTACTGAAGCCTCCCCGGCCCCGGCCGCCGCCGCCGCCACCCCGGGAGAAGCCACCACCTCCACGACCGCCACCACCTCTAGAGAAGCCTCCGGAGCCTCCACGGCCGCCGCCTCGAGAGAAGCCACCGCGACCACCCGGACCGCCTCGGCCGCCTCCTCCCCTAGGGCCACCTCTGCCGAAGGCACCCCGAGGACCACCACGGCCACCTGCGCGCTTGGGCTTGGGGGCACCTGGAGGGGGCTTGGGCTTGGGCAGGAACTTCTCCAGGGGAAGGAGCTTCTCGCCGGCAATGTAGAACTTGTCGCCCTCCTTGAACGAGGTGGCCTGGATGCCCTCGGTAGGCTTAATGGTGAAGTAGACCTGGTTGATGGGTCCGAGGACTTCGTCAACCTTGCCAACGGCAGTCTTGTTCTCGAGATAGATCTGGGCGTTGAAATGGGGGACCTTGGGGTTGATCGATTCGCAAACCATCTCACCCTCGCAGGCGTGCATGAACTTTCCCATCTCTGTTACAGGCAATGAGTTAGTCAGCCCGCGTCTGAGTGGAATGGGTGTATCAATGACAAAGTAAGACAGCGTGGGCGGCCAACTACTCGTCACTCACTGCTGGCTTTTTATCAAAGTGAGCAGATTGGGAGTTTGTCCATACCTAGAACAGTTGCTGGCGGGCCAAAATCTCTCTGTTGGTAACCTCCACGGCCTATACACCACATATTGTCAGTACATTTCGCTGCTTGAAAGTGGCGGTTGGGAATCCAGGTGTTGGCCGCTACTTGGGACATGATCTTTCAGGAAGGGATTGCTTACCACCACCACGACCACCAAATCCAGAGCCGCCGCCGCGGCCTCCGCGAAAGCCACCCCGGAATGACATTTCCGGTTCTGTCACGAATTGATGGGGATGTGTTGCGGTTGGGGGAGTAGTTGGAAATAGGTTGGTCTGCCCGTCTCAGTCGCAACTTTTTTTTTTTTTACATGTGTGGAAATTTTCCAGGTCGCGATTTTCCTCAAGCAGAGCTTGGACAGCTACGAGAGCCCCGATTGGCTTAAAGAGGGGCTGGAAGACGTCGGATAAACTATCGACCGAGAGCTAAGTAAATGTCCGTACCTTATCTTATCAGCCACTTTGCCACCAAAATTGTCACCGCCACTTGGACTCTGTTGAGCCACCAATCAATGACGTAGGAACAAGGCTAGGAGAGGAAGGGAGTATCTTCGTGGCACCTGTCAAGCTACATGCGCTGCACTGATTCACGTCTGGCACGGCTCGCGATCGTTTGAAGACTTTTTACTTTGATAAGAGCTATACATAGGTACGGTAAAACGGGTATCGATCGATAATCCATTCTGGGGATGAGGGAAACTTAGGGTATGGCACATAGTCCTGACAACCTCTCTACCCAATTTCAACCAAAGCCGTCACTCCATGAAAATCCTATCCAGAAAGAGGAGCCCAGCGTCGAAACTAATTGGACCAACAAGGAGGAGTATCGAAGCCAACCATTGAATCATGAAATAAACCACAAGGAAACCCAAGCCAAAACCCCAACAACACGCTGTGAGAGAAAGTGTTCGAAACAATGAAAGAAAACCTCCGGCCTGGAAAAGAAAAAACTATGCTACCCCTGTTCGCGGGAAGCCTCCTGGAATATGGAGGTTAGATATAGTATTTACATTGTCATTCCTAGTTGTGTTCTTGCTAGGCCTGGTTGGTTCAGACGAGCCATCACGCGGCAACATATTCTCAGCAGGAGCATGGAAAGTGCTTTCCGTCAACGTGGTAGAGGGCGTTAGGATATCATCGGAAGCTGGCTGATGCCCTTGTTGGTGGAAGTTTGTTGCTTGCCCTGCGTCGTTTCTTGTCCGGTTGAAATAGTCACCTCCCGATGTGACAATATATGCGTTTGAATGACTGCTGTCATTTGAGCCATCGGTCGTATTGGTTCGGGGGTTCTGAGACCCATTGCCGTGGCTCCCCAAGATGGGCACCTGTTCGATGGTCGTCTGCTCACCGTGATTGTCCTGGATTGGTTGTGTAACAGGCTCACTCGTGTACGGGTTGACTCCGTCATACTGAGCTACCTGGTCGGCAACAGCAGCGTGTGATGGGACATCCACGGGTGCTTGGCCCATCATTTCGCCGTAGCCCCTTTCGCGCTCTTGGTCATTGGTAGCAGCCGCATGGGAGAGATGTGATCCGGGGAGGGCCTGGGTGGCGACGATAAGACGGACATCCTGGGAAACTGGCTGCTGTTCATGGCCAATCGAACTTAGACTAGAGGGCGAACGACTGGCCTGTAAGCCGCGCTGTGCATTGACTTGGATATCAGATGGGAACCGCCCACCTGGATGAGATCGCCTAGACGCAGTGTCAGGTCTCGGACCGGGATTGACATCGATTTGCGAGTCGGCAGAAAAGGGCTCTTCGTCGTCCTCGTCGACAATCCCGTCGCTGCTGGCTGAACGACGGGACGATTGGCTCATACTGCGCGAGTGGTGGCGTACAAATTGACTGCGTTCCTCTGGGGTCTTCTCCGTCAGGGCCTTGATGTCCTCGTACCAGGCCATCATGGTATCATGGCTCTCCGCCCGGAATACCCATGTATGGCCGCGATGCATGGTGCCTGTCTGTCGACCTTTGAGAATGAACTTATTCGATGACCCTCCTTCGGTCGAATGGGATCCTAGTTTCTGTTCTGGCAGGAATAGTGACATGACTGGAGCCTGGCCTTTGTCCGCAGATTTGAACTCGTGGAGATGAGTGGTAGAAAGAACATACCTAAATATCAAATTGTCAGTTGTCTGCGTTTGGCCAAGCTGGGTGAAACTTACCATCCCGCAGTGTAGCTCTTCAGGTATTTGCTCTTTCGTTCAAGTAAACCGGCGCGAATCTCCTGCGCAGCCACGTGGTCCTGGCCGGGGTAATGAATCTGCTCAGCGGAGCGCAGTGGGATGGTTGGGTCGATGAATTGCTTATCATGGGTAACAAAATGAATCCATTCCTGATCCTTGGACATTGAAATAGGCCCGCTACGAAGCTCATCGATGATACTGTAGGCATTGTCCGCTTCGCGCTTGAGGATCCCAGCGTAGGCATTGTAAGCCTTCTGGATCTCGCCCACAACAATTGATTCAAGCTCTCGACCGGAATTCTCCAGGTTCAGGTAGGCCTATAACGCACGAATTAATTAGATCTCCATAGCAATACATGCCTGAGCTCAATGTCTGCCCAGTGAGGTGTGGTAATTGGGCCATACCTGATGAAGATAATTTTCCTCATCCAATTGGCGCTCTACTTGGCGATCCACAGCCAAGCGCATCAGGAATGGATCCTGCTTGCCAACGGTGCTGGCGTCATCCGCCTCATTCTTCCCTAGAACATCCTGCAGGGTCCGCACCGCTTTCCGTGTGCCCTCCATTTCCTTGTCGACTGTGTTCTTGAAGTCACCCGATAGGTTCTTGATCTCTTTTATCTTTTGCTGGAGGTCGCTGCGCAATCCCGCGAGAGCTAGGATTACATCCTCCTCAATCTCTTTGGCTTTGTTGGCCTCGAGAATAGCATTCTTGTTATAGACTCGAAGAAACTGTAGCGCGTCATCGATGCCGGCGGAAGTGAGGAACTCGGAAGGTGTCGAGATATTGTTGGAAACGTTGGCAAGCTTCAGGAGGGCTTTCCCGCGGTTTTCGTAATGGGACTGGATCTCCCTGAAATAGGCAATTAGGTCCTTGAGAACCTTGCGCCAAGCTGCGACATGTTAGTTCTTATACAGTCGTCACAGGATGCTGGGCAGTTGGTTCATGTAGGCGCTAGCGGAAAGGAAAAGAGACATACATTGAAATCGGTCAATTAGAACCTGGGTTGGGTTTCCAGAAGTCGGAACTGGACAGTAAAATGCGCTGTGAGCCTCATTGGGGTCCGACCCAGGGTTCAGAGCCAGACTTTTGACGCTGCCAGCTCTCATACTTCGACGGCTACCGCTCCGGCGCAGACTCAATGTACGTCGTGTCGAGCTCTTCTTTTTTAAGGAGTTCCCCCTGTTCGCCATTGCCAGCTGTTGCTGATCGTCACCAGGGTTGTAGCTCATAGTGTCGGCAGGTTGCGTGGCATCGTGGTGGTGGCCGTTTGGCCCATCGATGATTGAGCTTCCACGTTGTGTAGCGTCCCACTCCTCAACGAAATGGCCTTGTTGTGACTGGTACTGGGCCTGGGAAGGCCCATCAAGATTAGGGGCGTAGGTATTCTGGCCATCAAATTGTGGTTCGTGGTAGGATTGCCTCAACTGGGAGTTGCGGTACGACGCCGAAGGATCCATGTTGACTGTGTCTCTGTAACGAGGTTCTGTCTACTCAGGTCAGGGAAGGTACTCGAGCGAGGGGATGCTACTCGGCGGGATCCGTACAAATATACTTGCGTGTATCAGAGTTACCTTGATTCACACTCTCGAGCGTGAGGCTATCGGAGATGGTGTCTCCCACCCGGCGAATTGGGCGTGGGCTGCCCCAAGCTAGAATATCTTGACTGACTTCTGGGTAGGCCCAGATGGGAGAGTGGCTGCAATGCCAGGGGAGCCTGACTATCAGATCTGAAGGTAAAGAATAGAGTTGTGCATAAAATACGGAGGGGATGAGGACGGGAGGCGCATGCATGTAGCAAAGCAGAAGGTAATGGATAGTAGAGGGAGAGGAAGATGGTGGTGGAAGGGGGATGGTTGTGGATGTAATTAGAATGGATGGATGTGCAGTGATGTGATGTGGGTTGCGCCCAGGCCAAAGAATGTTGACGCAATGACAGGCGGTAGGATGGGCTGGGATGCTCCTTTGGGGGGGGGCTCCTAGGCGACTTGGGAGGGGGCTCCGAGAGCTAGCTGGGTGATTAGGCCTGATTGGGCAAGGCTGGACTAGAAATTAGGTGTCTACGTCCTGTACGACCGCTAACCAGCACCAACTAGGTGCTGTCCTAGGTACCTATAGGGACAAGACTGTCTCTGACATGCGGAATGCAGGTCAACGTACATTCATTAGGTAGTAGTAGTCTGCCATCTGACACAGCGAGAGACGATGTGGCTAAGGTAGGTATCAGATCTGGAGCCGGGCGCCAGTCCATGATGATCGTTATTTGTGCTGTGGGAGCGATCTTCCAATACAGCACAAGGAAGTGGCAGACGGACGAACCTCTCTTCCACGCTAGATTTGGCGGGACTGACGGACCCTGAAGATCGGGCCATGGGTGTCTTTTGAGACTGATGAAATGTGGTCTGTGATTCATGCAAAGCTCGGTAGAGCACGCCAAAAAATGGGCTTCATCTTTGGCGCATCACTCAAGCATCCTTCCTCTCTCGGCTGGATGCCTAACCCAGGTACCAAAGGCACACCACTACTAACTTTGTGTTATCCTGCACGGCCATTGCAACTCTTGCTGCACCGAACACATGCATGTTAGGTATGTAGGAGCCCTCGAGGACCGAGAACCAGTAAGGTTTGCCTTCGTTCATTCATACATTGCCGGGTCTTGAACGCTCCTCAATTGACAGGTCCAATCAATCAAAGATTACCGTGTTAGGCTCCCATGCCGTGAATGACATGGCAAAGAGCCAAAATCAAGGTCTGACGTAGCACGTCGAGAGGGCAACTAGCAATTTGCGACTCACATGCAAACAGCAGGGATCAGCCAGCTCTAGTGCCAAAAAGCCCCAGAGACAGCGTCATTCATCCAGCTCGCGGCGCACCAAGCGGGAGCATATTTCGCCAGTTTTGGTCCTACGTACTTGGCTGCGTTAGACTGACGATTGCCCAGGCCTAGCCAACTAACCCCTCCCCAGCTGTTGTCCGAGGCACAGGGCAGGGCCGACTGGAGAAGATGGTGCAGAGGCGGGG